TTTAGGGAACAAAAACAGAGGTAGACCGGGGAGTTATGCCTCTAGGAAGTATTGCTGCAACATAACAGAGGAAGAGATATTATATAATCAGAATTTATTCATATAAGGAAGAAAATAATTACTCAAGCTGGACCATAATCCTCGAAAAGCCCTTCCAGTCATTCTATCACCTCTACCTGAACAAATTAATGTTGTGGTAGAAAAATCTCATTACACCACCTGCATTTACTTTAATGTTTTATCTTCATTTGAAACATGGCATAATTGAACATTGGTTCACAGAATACCACTGTGTTTCTTCTGGACTTTTGTACATTCAGAGAAATGCACAGGGGACAAGCCAAAAGGAAGCAGGCTATTTTTAGCTCCTGAAAAGTTGACATTTTGGAGATATGAGGCCACGATACAAGGTTTTTATCTGATACCAGAGAAATGGGTGGGATGTCATAAGGGACTAGGCTGGAAAAAAAAAACACAACGAAATTTAAAAAGATAGCAAAAGAGGTAATGAGAGCGCCACATGCACACACGTGTACACACCTTGATTAGATGCCTCTTGAACTAATAGCTATTGAAGTTAGAAATAGAGAACTCATTAGAACTGCTGTTAATTCATTTTACCAAGTATAATAAATTTACAGGGCACTGACACACAAGCCATCATTTAAAGCGATTAATCCGATGGGGGAACCACAAAGTCTAACTTTCCAATAATTAAAGGAAAAACCCAATTAAGTGAGAGGAGAAAAATAACAAATACATGCTTCCATACAGGACAGAAGGGGTCACTCACTGTGTGTTTGCACAGTATGAAAATAATGTGAATCGTATGTTATGTTCTTCATGGTCACCAGATCTCAACTCAGTGTTAGGACAGCGTTGTCCACCATCATCATCAAAACACCAAACGAAGGAATATTTTGAAAGAGTGCTGTTCAATATTTTTTTTATGTAATTTGTCTCCCATCTGTGTCTGACATCACAGAACGGATAACTTTTTTATTGATTGATTCTGAAACCATGTTGTGGAACTTAAAGACCAGAAAGCACTGAGAGAGCACATTACTCCTCCAAGAAACCCGTTATTTCAATAACAGAAAAATGTTTCATCTGCATGTGGATCCCGATCTGCAAATACTCATATCGATAGAATATTAAGTGGATGATCTTTTGTTTTCATGTGTCAAGTTAATTTCATTTGTGTAGCCCAAACTCACAACTTTGTCTCAAATGCCTTAAAGCATGTGACACCCTTTATCCTTAGAGCATCTGTTCAGATAAGACTAAACCTTTGAGGAGGGGAAAAAAATAAAGAAATCTCAGGTAGAGCAACAGAGGAAGAGTCCTGCTGCCAGATATGATGCAGTAGATATTGTATGTGCATAGTAGACAATTTTAAAATATTAAAATTACACTATGGAGAAAAAGAATGACAGTAAATAGAGTGAGTGAAGAACAATATCCAAAAATCTTAAGGTGAATATATTCGATGGATGTACGCAACACTGTTGTGTCACCTCTCAGCTCAATGTTGTGTCCGTTATTGCTGTTTTTCGTTCCTGCTGTTTGGTGTCAACAATAAATTCTCACCATCACCAGAGCAACAGGTGGGCTGTACCTGTTGTCAGGAGATAACTGAATCTGGTTCTTCAAAGAGACACAGTGAATCTCCAAGTGGGCAAACCCAACAAATACTATCTTTTCAACCTGGGGGTTACGAAATTAATATTTTAGCTATACTTGCTGCCAACCACGTAACTGGAAGTTTGATCTCTTGTGAACGTTTGGGCTTCAATATTTCAACCATTTCCAATACTAATAAATGCAAAAAGGTAGATCTCAATAATTTCACATGTAGATTGTCTTTTGTGTGTGCCTCCCAAAGTTACTGGCTTCAACTGGTAAATTTAAAACTTTGAAAATATGTTATTGATTTACTGATATGCTGCTTCATTTTAATTGAGCATTAGAGTTTGACGCTGATACTCTGGTGTCTTGTTTCTCTCATTGAGGGCATGATTAAAAAAAAGAAGGTCCTGGGTTTGAATCCAGTGGTCTGTGCCTTTCTTTGTCAAGTTTCTTCTGGGTTCTCTGGTTTCCTCCTACAGTCAGTGACTTGCAGGTAAGTTTACACTCTGGAAATATGTACTTTTTGCCAAAATAACTCGTTTTGTCCAGCACAAAAAAGTTTTTGGGACGTGCACACCGCTTTCCTCCAAAATTAAAATTGCCTCTAGGTGTAAATATCATTTTCAGCTTTTTGTTAGGAAATTGTAAACTCTGCCCAGGTCTAAGAGAGGTCTCTTGTTCCTCTATGTGTCTCTCTGAATGTTAATAAGATTTGAATGAATAATTTTTCCTCAGGATATAGAGAACCAGTCAGACTCAATGTCCCATATTTTGACAGCGCTAAAGTCCAATTATGTCTCATAAAGATCTGAGTGTCTGGGGATTTTCTGATAACTATTATCACTGCTTTCAAGTTGCAATGGATCAACTTATCAATAAACTCTCGCACAGTGAACTGTTGGAGGGACTTTGGGCAACCAAATTGTTTTATTTAAAATAGAAGACAAAGACATCATGGTAAACCAGACCTGTCAAAATCCAGCAAGTTCCAAATCTATTAATTCTATTTCTCCAGTTTCTGTTATATTTTCATATTACCAATGAAGAATATTACTATGTATTGTGTAAAAGGCTTCAGCTCAAGGTACTGTAGCATTTTAGCATCTTTCAACTCATTGTTTTTGGTTTTTCAGCCTGCAACTTTACTGTTTTGGTTCACTTTCACAGCTCTGATAGCTCTGATATAAACCCACTTTACACAACCTGCCAAGCATCAATCAGAATCAGAAGAATCAGAAGGAGCTTTATTGCCAAGTAAAGTTTTACACATACAAGGAATTTGCTTTGGTGATAAGGCTACAGGTAGACAAACATATAGAAGACATAAATAGATGCAGAAATATATTAATATGGAATAAACAAACGCAAGTGAGAATGAGAATAATTGAAGAACAGAGAAAAAGAACACAACTAGGGAGTGTCAGTGGGGGACCCGGGTCTTGTTGATGAGGCTAGCTGCAGACGGGTAGAAGCTGTTTTTGTGGCGAGAGGTTTTGGTCCTGATGGACCAAATCAGCAGACAGACAAAGTTAGGGACTAGCTTGAGATAAAAGTGGCCAAATATTTTCCGCAGGAGCTGGCAGAGACCAAAACAGAGCTAACAGGCACACGATTTCAAATGAATGCTAATGTTGCTCTTTTTCTGCTGGATGTGCAAACATGTCAGTGTTACTGCTTGTTGCGCCAACTATTGAGTGTTAAGTCAGCCAACTCTAAATACAATTTGTTTTGCAAAAACATTGTTATTCATGCTTGAGACTACACAATCTGAGGTCAGATTGAGCCTAATTGTCTAATGTCCTCAACAGTTCACACCAGATAACAAATTAGACCAATGAATCGTCTCCTGCAGAACTGTGAGCTTTTAGAGGATGACTGTCAGAGATGTAGCACAGAAACTAATGAACTCGTGGTGGTGAATGAAATCGCCTGGTTGTTGTGAATGAAATGTTAAACTGGCGTCTCAGTCATTAAAAGTGGGGAGAGAGAGACATGAGTCATGCTGCTTCAAGCACAATCAAAGCTTCCTGCTCCTTCATCTCCGTCTCTGCTGATGGACCCGAAACAAGCGATCAATGCAGTGAAGCAGGATAACTCAAGCACAGATTAAGAATACAAGCTACAAAAATCATCTTTCTACGTCCTTATTGTGTGAAACCATCCATCCTTTGCATTGTTACAATGGACTCAGTGGTTGCATAAGTGATTATCAGTATCATAAATATCATAATGTAAATTATACCAAAAATGTTTGGTGAGTTAAAGTGAGTAGAAGTGCATTTTGTGCGCTTCCGCTGACTGCATGACAGACATCATTTATCCCTGACACGAAGTTCAAAGTGATTATTACTTTAATTTACAGGTTCATTATGATGCTATTAGTTATATTGCACAGACACAAATAATTAGATAGTTTCTTTATCATTCAGCATAATACTTTGTATTCAGTAAAAGTGAAACAACACTGTATAATAAGCTTATTTCTCTCTGTGAAAATGTGACCCTGCTGTTTTCTACTAATGAGATGACCTGCTATACAAATTACTTCAAGGCTTTTGCAAATCAACATTTCTCTTTCAATAATAGCTTGATTACAGCTGGTAATCAAAACTCTATTTATTCTTTGGACCTTCAGTCTCTGCACATTACATAAAAGGTGAATTCTAAAAACTGCTTTTAAAAGTAAAAACCCTGACTTTTATATATGTGTGAGGTCCTTTGGTGTTTGATTTTACTGAAGCTAAGAATAACAAGGCCCTTTAACGCCAACCGCTGTTTGGTTTTCTGGATCTTTTACAGCATAAAGGACTGACTGAGTCACCAAGTTTAAATGCAGGAGAGACTGCTAATGCCATTCTGAGGTAATAATGGAAAAGGCAGTATATCGCAAGTTACTGCTGATCTACCTGGAATACCAAATAAAGCAAAGTTCTCAGACTCATTGCTGCTGTTATTTAAAGATAAAATGATTCCTTGAGGCTATAATCCAACAAAGATTTGCATTCAAGAGTTTAAATATAAAATATAGTCTAATCTTGTACTGACAGTTAGCCCACAAATGCAACATCAAAATTGTCTAAATGCTTATCAACCCTCACCGAAATGACCTCATCAGTTTAAAATCATCCATTCTCCATCTAAATAACGAGTAATCCATTACTTTATCAGTAACGACCCCTCGCAGCGCTGCTGTTGTTGTTGTTGACTTTTTGAGGCATATTTTGCCCAGCAACTTTTACGGGATGACTCACCCAAGGCAGCTGTTACGCATGACAAAAAAAAAAAAAAATCAAAGGATAAGGTGGAGCAAGCAGATGGCAGGAGTCAGATAAAAAGGTGTTTGGCGCGGGGGAGCGACTATTTGAGACGGGGAAAGGGCCACATGAAGACGCTAACCGGGACCATGCAGACTTCCAGGCTGCTCAGCGGGGCACTGCTCTGCGCACTGCTGCTGCTCTCCAGCGTTGCTGGAGCCGAAGTGTTGGACACAGAGTCCGAAGAGGAGCTGAGCCCCAGAGCACTGCGGGACTTCTACCCAAAAGGTCCGAACCTAACCAGTGAGAAGCAGCTGGTAAGCTTATATCTGCACACCTTCTGCACTACAGGCATGCAAAAAAAAGACGATGCAACTTTAAATCGTATCGCAAAAACAAAAAAGTTTTATTTGCCTATTTTATCAAATAAAAAAGTTTAATACTTTGCATGTTAGCCTACTTTGAAATGCACGTATGTTGTGTTGAATAAAGACAAAATATGCATATTGAACTCCAGTCTGTCACCACCTTAAAATAAACGAAACTCACATACAGAAATGCCTTTAAGATTATCCCTTGTCATGTAACTTCTGTCCTGTGCAGATAATATATTGACATTTTTTCTCATCGATTTGTGTCATTTTAACCAAAATATGTAACTGTAGGCTGTATAACTTTATTACATATTATAATATAACCTTGCAAATTAGATAATCATAATTATTATTATATTAATAATAATAATTTTGTATGTTTGGTTAGTTAGGTAGGCTACTTAGTATTTATATGGCACAATTTTCCATTTGTATGTCCGTTGCTAAAATAAAAATGGCACATTCATTAAGCTGTTTTTTTTTTTTTTTGCTGTTTTATGTGTTACCTGACAGCTTGGAGCTCTCCAAGAAGTTCTTGAAAAGCTGCAAGCTAAACGGCTGCCTTTATGGGAAAAGAAATTTGGCCAAGTCCCAACGGTAGGCTATTGTACAAGCAAACTTAAACATATCGTATTTACTGATAATGTATTGATGCGTGTGGCAGCAGGCAGAAATTGATCAAACCTCTGGTGTCGTTGCTTCCCCCTCAGTGTGATGTCGGGGAGCAGTGCGCCGTGAGGAAAGGCGCACGGATCGGCAAGATGTGCGACTGTCCCCGGGGAGCTTTCTGCAACTTTTTCCTGCTGAAGTGCTTATGAGTCTCGCCGGATCTGAATGTAGCTTTGAGATGGGGAGAAAAAAAACTGTCACACGATTCCTTTGTAATTACTGTCATATTTTTTATGATACAGCTGAGGAGCAGGTGCGGTGATTGCCTAACCCTTACGAAAAAGAACTATCGTAGTTCTATGATAAGTATATATATTTAAAAGTATGTTATATCACAGAAAAACTATAAGTCTCTGTAAGGATATTATGGCGACGGACAGGAGGTGAGAATACCATAAAGTTCCTGTAAATATTCAGAACCACTTTTTGTCTGTTGAAAAATCACAGGATCATTGTTGTGATGTAGCCTATAGGAGCTAAGAAAAAGTCTTTAACAGCAATATCATGGGAACATAGTGATTCTTCGTCTGGAAACCCCCCAAAACCTGTCTTTTGAACTTGAACTATTTTGTTTCAGATGAATGTTGGTGTAGATTTATGAAAAATAATAACAATAAACTGTGGATCATCTTGTTTTGTAAAGCAGTGGAGTGGCCGCTTATTGTTTTAAAATGTTGGTCCATCGTGTAAACACACAGGCCGTGTGTCTGTTATATGACGCGCATGTTTGTGTCAGCTCGGTCAATATCTGAACGTGGACGTGACGGCAATCTGTGACGTCACACGTCCCGGGGCCCCTAATTGGCAAAAACATGGATTAATTTGAAACCTATCCGCTGCAGAGGAAGTAGTTATGAACCAGGGAGTGACTGTCACATCTCAATCTCGCTGATCCTCCAATTCACTGTCAATGGAGCAGCGCCAGGCTGTTGATGACGTCATGGCAATGAAAGAAGCCTCAACCTGCTGCACATGAATTCAGATTTAGAGTGACTTAAAACTGAATATACAACAATAATCGATTTGATTCATATCACATATACACGTAATCTCGTATTTAAGCTCATCTGGATATTTAACACATTCAGCTTTGTTTAGTTGTACTGGAAGAGTCACTCTTCACTCAAAAGTGTGTCTTGCTTATTGTGACTTTGCTTGGATGTTTTTGCGTTCACTGTGCAGAAAGATGTATGTGCAGAGTTTGACACATTCAAAGTTTTGCCTGTGCTCATGCACTTTACATCTGAGTTTAAGACATGCACGTAAAAGAGCATTCATTTACTGACATCACAACTAGTCTGGAAGCCAATCATGGTCCAGCATGAAACTTAAAAAACGGTGACAAGGAAACTTCTAGCCTTCATATTTATAGACCGAATGTTTGACCTGTAGTGCCCTGGTGGTCTAGGGTGCAATGCCGACCATGAAACACAGGTCTGGTTCATGTCTGAATGAAACCCTTTGTTGCATGTCGTTTTCTCCCCTCATATCCTGTCATACCTCAGACTGTCAATCAAATAAAGGAACTGGCCAAATAATAATATAAAAAAAACATTTCAGAGGGAAAATCATCAAACACAAATTCTGGTTCAAGGGCAGAGTCCTTCCAAATCTCTTGAAACATGTGTAAGGGGTGTTTGTTTCTACTTAAATTTAACGCTTATCGCCATCACTGTGCACGATCTGATCATGACGTGCATCTTTTCAGATAATAAAGAGTGGCATATATGTGTATTTCTGCTAAGAATGAAAGCAGTTTCAAGATTATTGTATGGATGAAATGATGAGTTCTGTATATCAGTGGTGGAAAGTGAAGTACTGTTACTCAGGTATACTTCACATAAGTATTTCCATTTTCTGCTACTGTTTACTTCAATACATTTATCTGACATCTTTAAAGTACATAAAGTAGTAAAAATGAGCTTGAACATTCTGGAAGGGTCCATGCAGAATGAGAACTTTTACCTTTTAAGTATTTACGTTTAAGTTTTCTTTACATTTACTAAAGCAACAATTTTTTGGAAGTAGCTTGTAATAGAGTATTTTTATATTGTGGTATTCAAGAGCGTCACTTTGTGTTCAAAAGTGGTGGGGACATCATAATAATAATAATAATCTTTATTTGTAGAGCACTTTTCAAAAACAAGTTACAAAGTGCTTTAACAAGTGTAAAGACAATAATACCCAAAAGACAATAATTCAAAAACAATACAAGATAAAAGCAAGAAAACGTTGAAAAGACTAAAATACACATTTAAGATAAATACAAAATAAGTAGAGGCGAGAGGCCATGAAGAGCTTTAAAAGTGATCAATAGAATTTTAAAGTCAGTTCTAAAACATACTGGGAGCCAGTGTAATGAAGCTAAAATAGGAGTAATGTGGTCATATTTCTTTGTTCTGGTTAAAAGCCTGGCAGCTGAGTTCTGGACAGTCTGGAGTCGATCAATAGATTTTTGGGTTAAACAGGTGAAAAGGCTGTTGCAATAATCCAGGCGTGATGAGATGAAGGCGTGTAAAATGGTCTCGGTGTCCTTAAAAGTTAACATAGATCGAATATATTATATTATTATATTTCTAAGTTGATAAAAACATGATTGAACAAGCTTTGTGGTGTGCTGCTCGAAATTTAAATTACTATCAAACCAAACACCAAGGTTCTTTGCAACAGGCTTAATGTGATTTACTAGGGATAGCAGTATTTGTTTAGCCATCTGCTGGGATTTCTGTTTTGTCTGAGTTCAGCCGGAGGAAATAATTTGACATCCAAATTTTTAACTTTACAAAGGCAGTTGTTAAGTAAACTCAGCATTCCAGGGTCTGTGGATCTGACGGGCAAGTACATTTGCGTGTCATCAGCATAAATATGAAAAGAAATGTCATGTTTATGGATAATATGTCCAAGGGGAAGCAGATACAAGGAAAACAAAATGGGTCCTAAGACCGACCCCTGAGGCACACCATATTTTACTGGACAGAACGAAGAGACATAGTTGTTTACAGACACGCAAAACTTCCTATTTGACAGGTAGGATGAAAACCATTCTAGAGCAGTACCAGAGATCCCCACCCAGTGCCTCAGTCTGTCTAACATGATGTTGTGATCAATGGTGTCAAAAGCAGCGCTAAGGTCCAGGAGTACCACAAGGGCTCAGATTAGGGGTGTGATGATACACTTGGATCACGAGACGTGACGATGCAGGGGAACAAGATGAGAAAATTTTTAACACTATTTTGAAGAAATAGGAAATGCTGAAATATATGAGCAGGGGATCTGGGGATTCTCCCCCAGAAAATTGGAGCATTAAACACTTAATTTCCTGCATTCTGGAGACATTTTCTGCACCAATTTATGGTGGAAATATCTGTATAAAATTTATATATTATATAAAGGGAAACAAAAAATTCAGCCGGCAGTTAACAATTCATAAATATGAAAATGTAACAGAACATAATGCAGTATTCAGCTTCTTGGTGTTTTTTTAGCTTAAGTTTTTCTGGACAATGCACATTTGTTTCTTTTATATTTAAATTGCACGTTTTCTTATAGTGCAAATAAACATTTCTCAAATCATTTTCATTTGTTAGTTGACATTTTTTTGGTGCAAGGTATTTTCAGAACATTTAAACAAATGCTTTCAAAAAGTGGTGGGGACAAAATCAGCCATTTAAAAAGTGGTGGGGACAAAATCAGCCATTTAAAAAGTGGTGGGGACATGTCGCATACTTTTACCTAAGTAAAGGATTGGACTACTTCTACAATCACTTCTGTGTATCTTTCCTCAGTCCTCCCATTACAGTGAGCTATTTACTTCTTTTCATAGACTTTTATCATTTGTGGCACACATGTTATTGACACTATAATCCCTTCCTTCACAAGTGACTCTGAAATGGACTCAATGAATTGGAACAAACTAATAAAAACCTACCATCATCACTGAACATTAATTGAACTGGTTGCCTTAAGTTCCCTATAATAATATTTTTCATGGCTCCTCACTGATGTTTCAGTTGACTTGAAATTTTGAGCCCTCTGTGTGTTTTTGCAGCCTGGGCAGCAACATCTTATTCCACATTACTGGGCTAATCTCGCATCTACCCTCCCTCTCTGCTACCTGTCAGCAGTCATCAATAATGCAGAAGAGACAAGTACAACATGTTAACTTCTTCCATCTTTGCTTGGCTGTGTGTGTGTGTGTGTGTGTACACTTGGGATGTGTGTGTGTGTGTGTACACTTGGGATGTGTGTGTGTGTTACCATTTGGGAAGTCAACATGGACCTAAAGGCAGACTAGAGTTTGTGCTGTCAATCAAACTGACCACACACCCTGTCCTGTTTGTCCCACTATTTCCTGGGAAATCTGTTATCGCCATTAATATTTCACTGACAGGGTTTAAGACGTGACACACAAAAACTCCACTTCACAGAGGTTTCTCTCTCTAGTATTAAGACCGGAAATTATTTCCTACAGAGCTTGTAATCATGTGTGAAATTGTAAACCTTGTAGAACTTGGAGTAGACAGATAATTGTAATGTTTGACTCATAAAATAGTTTCATGTGTTTGAACAAGTATGTTGTCCATATAAGATGCACATACACTATATTACCAAAAGTATTGGGACACCCTTTCGAATAATTGAATTCAGGTGTTTCATGGCCACAGGTGTGTAAAATCAAGCACCTAGGTATGCAGAATGCTTCTATAAATATTTGTGAAAGAATGGGGCGCTCTAAGGAGCTCAGTGACATCTTCACTACTAAATATTCCACAGCCAACTGTTAGTGGTATTATAACAAAGTGGAAGTGATTGGGTGCAACAGAAACTCAGCCACAAAGTGGTTGGCCACATAAAATCACAGAGCAGGGTCAGCGCACGCTGAGGCGCACAGTGCGCAGAAGTTGGCAACTTTCTGCAGAGTCAATAGCTACAGACCTTCAAACGTCGTGTGTCTGGCAATCTGATGGACGAGTCTGGCTTTGGCGGTTGCCAGTAGAACGGTACATGTCTGACTGCATTGTGCCAAGTGTGAAGTTTGTCGAAGGGGGGATTGTGTTATGGTGTTGTTTTTCAGAGGTTGGGCTTGGGCCCGTAGTTCCAGTGAAAAGAACTGTTAATCCTTCAGCATACCAAGACATTTTGGATAATTTCATGCAACCAAATTTGTAGGGATTGACCGATATGTTTTTTACCGGTCGATCCCGATTATTAGTAACCAATTAGACCAATGACCGATATGTGGAACCGATATACAATTGCTGTAAAAACATTTATCTTGGTGTCAAATTTTAGAATAACACAAACTCCAACACAAAACTTGAAATACTTTAAAATAACAAATTAAAGTTAATTGTCATGTTTAATCTTTGTAAATATTAAATTAAATGAATTAGAGATTTATCATAAACTTTGTCTTTATTCACTGCCATTTATATTGTATTTATTTTATATTGTTAGGGTTTTACTGATACATGAGTTGATACTATTTATTTGTTCTGTTCTTTATCTATACTCTTATTGGGTTTTCATTACTAAATAATTGCTATTTAAAAAAGAAAAGAATGATTCAGAACAGTAATCAAAGTTTACTGCAGAAAAGTAACAATATGAAATCAGTATCTCACTGGAAACAAATGGAACATGTTAAATAAACTATATTCCTGACATCAAAATACTGAGTAAAGTTTTGTGCACGTTCCTGCTTGTACTGATGCAGTAGCAGCCTTTTACTAGTACTGCTGGTTTTGCTGCAAGAACTTACAGTAAAGGCTGTAGTTATGGTCAACTTGTGTAATGTACACTCAGCTATCTCCGCTCTGTGTGTGTGTGTGTGTGTGTGTGTGTGTGTGTGTGTGTGTGT